GGTAAGTGGTTGGGCGGGTCCATTGGGGGGATTGAGCAGTCTAGGTCGCCGCGCGGCAATTCATAGAGATCGGATTTGTTTTCTTCCCGTGTCCATTTCCTCTGTTCCTTCTGACAATTTTTTTTTGTGTGCTTGTTTCTGTGTTGTGTTGGCTGCTGGTGTAATGTGCGTGCCTCTTTGACTGAGGCCCATGGATGCGTCAGCAGGCTTGCCAAGGGACTCAATGCAGTGTCATCTCAGGAGGGTGCTGTGCGAGTGGGAGTCCGCCTTCTGAGCCATCTTGGAATCTTCAAACCTGCCTCGCAACGACAGGATGGTAAGTGGTTGGGCGCATTTGTTGGGGGGGCAGCACAGTCTAGGTTGCCGCGTGGCAAGTCTTAGAGGGCACTTTTGTTTCTTCCGAGTTTGTTTCCTTAGCTGCTTCTGACGAACTCTCCTCTGTCCTTGTTTCTGTGTCGTGTGTTGGCTGCTCTGGTGTAATGTGCGTGCCCATGACTGAGGCCCATGGACGCGTCAACAGACCTGCAAGGGACTTGGTGTGGTGCATCTCTGCGACAAGGAACTCGTCGTCTCAGCCGTCATAGAATCTGCCTCACCATAGGCAGTGTGGTAAGTGGTTGGGCGAGTCTATTGGGGGGGTAGAGAAGTCCCAGGTCGCCGTGCAGCAAGTCTTAGAAAACATTTGTATTTCCCATGCCCGTCTCCTCTGCTGCTTCTGACGAACTCTCCTCTGTGCTTGTTTGTGTGTTGCGTTGGCTGCTCTGATGTGGTGTGCGTGCCTCCCTGACAGCGGCCCATGCACGCCTCAACAATCTGCCAAGCAGTGGTGCTTCCCTGGGAGGTGCTGTGCGAGCAGGGGTCCGCCTTCTGAGCCGTTTTAGGTTCACCCTCACTGTTGCAGTATGGTAAGTGGTGGGGCTGGTTATTGGGGGGGTCAGCACAGTCTAGGTCGCCGTGCGGCAAGTCATAGAAATCAATTCTGCTACTTCCAAGTCCGCTTCCTCTGCTGCTTCTGACGAACTCTCCTCTGTGCTTGTTTGTGTGTTGCGTTGGCTGCTCTGATGTGGTGTGCGTGCCTCCCTGACAGCGGCCCATGCACGCCTCAACAATCTGCCAAGCAGTGGTGCTTCCCTGGGAGGTGCTGTGCGAGCAGGGGTCCGCCTTCTGAGCCGTTTTAGGTTCACCCTCACTGTTGCAGTATGGTAAGTGGTGGGGCTGGTTATTGGGGGGGTCAGCACAGTCTAGGTCGCCGTGCGGCAAGTCATAGAAATCAATTCTGCTACTTCCAAGTCCGCATCCTCTGCTGCTTCTGACGAACTCTCCTCTCTGCTGGTTTCTGTGTTGTGTTGTGTTGGCTGCTCGGGTGTGCGTGCTTCCTTGACTGAGGCCCATGGACGCGTCAGCAGTTCTGCCAAGGGGTGGTGCGTTTCAAGGAGGTGCTGTGCGAGTAGGGATCCGCCTGCTGAGCTGTCTTAGAATACTCAACCCTGCATCACCTCTGGCAGTGTGGTAAGTGGATGGGCGGATCAAATGGGGGGTGCGGCAGTCTAGGTCGCCGCGCGGCAAGTCTTCATCAGAATATTTGCCTTTGAGACTGTTTTCTCTACTGCTTCTGACGAACTCTCCTCTGTGCTTGTTTTTGTGTTGTGTTGGCTGCTCTGCTCTGGTGTGGTGTGCGTGGCACCTTGTTTGAGGCCCATGCACGTATCAGCAGACCTGCCAAGGGGTCAGCCTTCTGAACCGTTTGAGAACCTACCTCGCCATGGCAGTACGGTAAGTGGTTGGATGGGTCTATTTGGGGGGCCGAGGAGACTAGGTCGCCGCGCGGCAAGTCTTATTAATCATGATGTTTTGGAGTCTGTTCTCTCTACTGCTTCTGACCAACTCTCCTCTGTGTTTGTTTCTGTGTGGTGTTGGCTGCTCTGGTGTGCGTGCCGCCTTGTCTGAGGCCCGTGCACGTGTCAGCAGTCCTACCACGGGGTCGGGTCATGCATGTGTCGGCGGTCAGCCTTCTGAACCGTCTCAGAATGCACCTCGCCATGGCAGTATGGTAAGTGGTTCGGCGGGTCTACCGTGGGGCAGATCAGTCTAGGTCGCCGCGCGGCAAATCTTAGTCCTGAATTTGAGTTCTTTTGAGTCCGTTCCCTTTCGTGCTACTGATGCACTCTCCTGCGTGCGTGTTGCTCTGTTGTGTGCGCTGATCTTTGTGTGTGCTGGGCGGAGGGAGGTTGCTGGAAGGGGAAGAGGCAATGGCATGGATGGTCACTGGCCCTCAGAGGAGAGTACTGGCCCGTCTCTTGGTCCTGGTTACATAGGTGAGCGAATCTTGCTCCCTGCATGCATGCATGTGAGCACGTGTATCCCATCCCATGGCCGTTCACACATTCGTAACACACATATACGCCCGGATTGTCTGGCAGTGGGGAAGTCTGCTCTACGTGCAGTCAATCTGATACATCTTGACTTCACTTCATGTCTTTTGAGGCGCCTCAAAAGATTGGCTGGCAGAGAGGAAGTCTGCTCTAGGTACAGTCAATCTGATACACCTTGACTTCGCTTCATGCGATTCATGTTCCCGCCTTCCCTGTGCTTGTTTATCCCTTGATGACCCCCTTCTGCTTTTTGTAATGACCTGCGTTCCCCCTACCGTTCTCCCCCTCACTCCCCTCCAGCTCCCTCGACCGTCCCTCTCCCGCGTCTGTGCAGGAGCCTGATTGGGTTGGGAGGAGCAAGGCAGCACAGCAGCCTACTGGGATCATGTAGAGGACGAGTATTTCTTGGAAATTCATGCCAAAGAGGTAAGTCCCATTCATGTCGAATGGTGCCTCACTGGTTCTCATCTGTCATTCTCTGCTGACCACTGAGGTGCAACATCCTCTCCCCCCTCTCCAGCCGCCCTTTTACCTTTCCCCTTATGATGGCCTGCTTCCCTACAGCCAGGCTGAAGCAGCAATGGCAGGAGAAGCATACGTGGGCAGCACAATGAAGAGCATTTGGGGTTTCAGCTGCACCAGGTGAGCCTCATCGCGACCACCATATCTCATCTTCCACTCCTATCCTCCGTTGTTGGTCATACCATGTTTGTGCTCAAATGTTTTGTTTCTGCCTTTGCTATTCGCCTGCTTGAGCATCTGCGGATCCACCCACTACCATTGTGTACTCATGGCTCTCCTTGTCTCCCCTTCTGCCTCCCATCAGTGAACAGGCATGGTTGAAGCTACAGCATCACAGTGTTTGCAGCCGCACTGGAGGAGAGGAGAGGAGAAAGGAAGGAGTCGCTGCGGGTAGCAAGGAAGGCGGAAAGGAGGGAAGCAATGAAGGATGGAAGAGAATAAGGATGAGAGGAGTCGCTTGAGAGCAAACAGAGTGAGTATTATCGCCCTCACTGCTCTCACCCACTCATCCTTGCCATCCCATGCTCGGTCCTTGCTTTCACCTTTCTGATAACATTTGTGCAACTTATAATCCATACACCATATCAGTTTACTCCCTCTTTGATGGTTACTCCCCTTTTGCTAGTTACCCCTTGTTTTCCAGGTTCCTCGCTTTTCCTTGATGCCCCTCTCTTTATTTCTATGCCCCTCTGCTCTTCTGCGTTATGTTCCTGCTTCCACATCGGCTGGTTTTCGATCTCTGTCCTGTTGCATTTCGGTATCTTCCGTCAACACTATTTTCCCCGTTGACGTATCCTTTTGAATGCTTATGACGTTTGCAAAGCATGCTGCTTGAAGATTTGTGTCCCAATCCCCCCAGTGGTATACCTCCCCACTAATTTTAGTCCTTTCTTCATCCTCTGTTTTCCGTTCACAGGTTAGGCAACAGGGAACATTGACAACAGCAGTAGCAGTAGGAGTGAGGCGTATGTAGTTTTATGTTTTGAGAGTGCATGAGAACAGTGCAAGGTGATGTATGGTAAGGTCTTGTGAGTACTGTAAGCCATGGTGAGGTGTGGTAAGGTACTGTAAGCCATGGTGAGGTGTGGTAAGGTACTGTAAGCCATGGTGAGGTGCGTTAGGGTACTGTAAGCCATGCAGAGGTGCGGTAAGGTAGTACGGTATTGTAAGATGTGAAAGGTATGGTGAGTGAGTTATGGTATGGTAAGGTATGATAGGCCCACCCCAGCCCATCCAAGAAGGCAGAATCGCACAAAAGAAGAAGCAAACAGATATGCTACACCTTAGCTAGGTTGCAGATGCACCATACCAGGGTGATGTGACGCCCGCACAGCACATACCCAACTGATGCAGCACAGAGGTAGCCAAGCCAACAATCCCCCGCAACCAATACAGCAGACTCGCTCTATAAATGCCCATACGATTAGCTTCACCCACTTGATTCATATGGGCTTCACTTAAACGCTCTATAACCCAAAAGAATGACTCCCTGACCCATCCAGAGAAAACATCCAATCCCATCATCCAACAAGACATGTTCAGTCACATGGGCACGCCACACACCGAACCCAACCAAAGAATCAGCCAGACCCAGCCAAAGGTGCAAAGAATTTACAGCTACCCAGCCAAACGAACACATGTAACCCATAAGGGGGTTCACATCACTAATCGATGGTCGTTAATTGCCCATTGTTTTGTTACTCACAGTTTCTTGCATGCATGTACATAATCCTGCATTCCACGTCAACCCAAAATATCTGCAGCGCTGCAAGTAATTGCCCAAGCCTCACAGTCAGCTCTTCAGTACATTTGAAGTATCAATAACAAAATCCATTTTTTTGTGTTGCCTGAACGCATATCCCTTCATACTGTGCCCTTTTATCCGTGATATGGCGATCGTAGCTCTTTTTTATCGTCAGAAAAACTGGTTCAGCTCGGTTTTGCGCGGTCTACATCCGAGCGAGAGTCTCCCACTATCTCCTGGAACCACCTCAACAACACTCGAGTTGTTTGTGGCACGGAACCAAGCATGCGTACCAGCCCCACCAGCAATTAAGCTTTCTTTCTCATAATTGCTGCTGCCTTACTCGATCAACGCACGTCGCAATGGCTCCGCGCGTCGCTGGCAAGCGGCAGAAGCAGGAGCGAGCGGCAAGGGCGGCGGACGACGCGGAGAAGGCGAAGGAGCTAGAGAGTATTTTGTTCGGTAAATCAAGCGATTACGTGGCAGACCTTGGAAATGAGCTGGCAGCGGGAGCGGTGGACAGTGAAGCTGCCGCGGACCTTCCGCCGAGCAGCGAGGATCTGATCACCGCGCATTTCGGCGGAGAACCCGGCGGAGAAGGCGGGAATGCGGAGGGTTTGGCAGGGGGCGAGGTTCTGTTGGGGTTTATCGACCGCAAGAAGCAGCGAGTGGAGGAGGAGGACTGGCGGAAGGGTTCAAAGGGAAAGAAGCGCAAGGGGAAGGGTTTAGAGGCGGAAGCGGAGAAACCCGCGTGGGTGGACGAGGAGGACGAGACGCTGGTTGTGACTATAGCGGGGCAGAATCGGCTGAGGAAGCTGCGGAAGGAGGAGGACGAGGTTGCTGTATCGGGGGTGGAGTACCAGCAGCGGTTGCGTGCGCAACACGTTAGGTTGAACCCGGGAACGAGGTGGGCCAAGGTAGGGTTAGGGAAGCAGCAGAAGGAGAAGAAAGAGAAGAAGGAAAAGCCGGTTACGAGAAAGGAGAAGCGGGGCGATGCTGTTAAAGAGAAGCGTTCTAACGAGGATGCTGAGAGCGAGGAGGAGGAGGAGGCGGATGCAGGGGAGTTATCAGATGGGGAAGCAAGGGGGGTATTCAGCGATCTAGAGCAGGAGAGAGCTGCCATGGGGTTGGGTGAGGACGAGGATGAGGAGGGAGAGAGTGAAGGAGAGGAGGATCAGGACGGATTTGATGCCGATGAGATTCTGCGCAACATGCCAATGCTTGCCGGCCAGAGCAAGGACCGAGCCAGCCAGCGCACCACCCACCGCCTGCCGCCCGGGCGAATCCGAATCTACCGCGTGCGCGACGCCAACTGGCAGGCCCCCACTGGCGCCAGCGCCATCACTCCCGTCGCGCCGTCCCGCGCGATCCAGTCGCTGAGCTGGCACCCGAACGGGCAGCTGCTGCTGTGCGGGAGCATGGATGGACGGGTGAGATTCGTCCACGTGGACGGCGAGGAGAACCCCGAGTTGCAGTCCATCTACTTTGAAAATGTGCTCGTGCGCACCGCTGCTTTCACTGCTGACGGCACCCAGGTGGTTGTAGCGGGGCGTAACGGTCGTAACGCGAATCGCGGTTACGCCACGGGCGAAGCGTTCAACGGGTACCATGTGTATGATATCGGCGCGGGGCGAGTCGCCCGCGTGGATGGGATAATCGGGCGGCCAAAGCGCGACCCGCCGCTGACGCGCTTCGCCCTGTCCCCGGATGGAGGCAAGGCGGCGTTCCTGTCTCGCGACGGGTTTATTGTGCTCGTGTCACTCAAGTCCCGCCAGTGGATGGGCAACCTGAAACTCAACGGCTCCGTCTCCTCCGTCTGCTTCGCACCTCCCGTTCCCTCCGACGCTGCCGCCGGTGCTGACGGGTCCGATAGTCCGAGCGGGCAAGCCCTGACAGGGGAGCATCAGATGCTGGCGACGGGGAGTGACGGGGAGGTGTACCACTTTGATCTGCGCATGATGCGCTGCATTCACCGGCGGGCAGACGACGGGTGTGTGAAGGGCACCGCCATTGCAGCGTCCCCAGACGGGCGGCACTTCGCGGCTGGATCCGACTCTGGAGTGGTGAATCTGTATGACCGCCCGGCCTTCCTCCGCTCAGGACCCTTTGGAAGCATATCATCATCAGAAGCAGCATTGGGAACGGGAGGCTTGAGCCGGGACAACGAGAAGCCGCTGCAACGGGCGTTCATGAATTTAACGACTGAAATAGACGCGCTCTCGTTCAACCACGACGGCCGCATCCTCGCTCTTTCCTCCCGCGAGCAGCGCGACTCGCTGCGCCTGGTGCACGTGCCGTCGCGCTCCGTGTTCTTCAACTGGCCCACTGAACGCACAGCACTGCAGTTTGTGCACGCGGTGGAGTTCAGCCCGCACAGTGGGTACCTGGCTGTGGGGAACCGGCGGGGGAAGGTGCTGCTGTTCCGATTGAGGCACTATGACAGGGCTTAGGACTTGCGAGGGGGCTGGCATGATTTCACGACACACGGCGCGGCAGTTTGTGTATGCTACGGAGTTCAACCCACACAGTGGGTACCGTCACCCTCCGTGGAACGCGGTTCTTCCACGGTACTACCAGAGGATCTAGTAGGAGCTCTGGGAATAGGAGGGGGTTGGGGTGCTGTAAGAGTTTCGGGAGCATGCATTGTTCTGCTTTTAAAGTGTGAGTCATGCAGTGGTGTGTGTGTCACCTTGGTTCAGTATTGTGGTGTGGTCACAACTGCGTTCGGGGGCACATGTGTAGAGGAGGGCATTAACATGCCGACAACATGGTTCTACAGATGTGGCTATAACATAATGTTACAATGTTATTTGGCTGCCGATTTATCCAGAGTGTCACTCTCAGACTTCTCATCCCTGGCATTCCCAAGCTGAACAGCAGCACTTCCTCCTGCAGGAGAAGGCAGAGCTTGTTAGCGATACAGAGGCCACGGGACATTCCTGAATACCGTGTACATACACGCGGAGATAAGAGGCCCCCAGGACAAGTACCGTACTTACCGAAAATCAGTGCTGCTCCCAGATACCCTACTGTTGTCCACTCCTCCTGTAGGACCAAGGAGGCTAATAGAGCTGAGTATAGCGGCTCGAGAGTGTAGACCATGGCCACTTCAGATGCCGCAACATGCCGGAGTGCCACGATCTGCACCAAACAACGAGCGAACAACATGTGGGTCGATATGTGAAAAGACAAGGGATAATATCGAAAGCAGGAGTCATGAGAGACAGGAATTCAAAGAAGGTGGCGGCGGTGGCGGCAGTGGTGGTTGTGGTGGTGGTGGTGGTGGTGGTGGTGGTGGTGGTGGTGGTGGTGGTGGTGGTGGTGGTGGTGGTGGTGGTGGTGGTGGTGGTGGTGGTGGTGGTGGTGGTGGTGGTGGTGGTGGTGGTGGTGGTGGTGGTGGTGGTGGTGGTGGTGGTGGTGGTGGTGGTGGTGGTGGTGGTCGCAGCGGTGGTGGTGGTCGCAGCGGTGGTGGTGGTGGTGGGGTTGCAGTCCAACCTGTGGAGGGCCAACAGCAACGAACCTCAAGCCAGAGGCAGAGGGCGGTGGAAACCACCCCTGTGTACCCCATCTGTACCCACGGCCACGAGCTCACCACCGAGGCTAATCTTTCCACAACATCAGTGGGTGACGTGGCACTGATGAGCTCCTTGGCCTGGGCGACTAAACTGGGCAGGGTGTGTGAGGTAAGAAGAGCAGGAAGAGGAGACGCGAGGTCTGCTGCAGTTACTGGCATGGCTGCTGCGGCTGCTGTGGCTGATGCAGCTGTTATAGCTGATGCCCCTATGTCGGCTGCAAGGGCGGTGGTGGCCAATGGAAGGTCTATGAGGCTGATGAATGCTGTGCCAATAGCAGCACAGCACGCCACAGTGGATATCTGCCAGTGCGCGAAACAATTCAGCACACACAGAGGAGCAGCGATACAATGAATAATGTGCGCTCTGAGGTGGACGGGAGCACGTGTGTTTTCTACACGTTTGACACGTGGATCACACAGCATAGCTCACATCACCTGAAGGGCGATGAGGTCAAGACTGGCTGTGGCGGGCACAGTCTTTGCAAAGTGCTCCGATCGCACCATGAGCAGCCCAAACGCCACCGCGCTCACCAAAGCCAGGCCGTCACCCACCTGAGCCAGTGATGTGTGGGGAGATATCATTGAAATGATTATCTCTGAAGAACTGCCTCCAGCGGCACGTACATCATTTGATAAACGGACGCAGCAACACATTAATCACGCAGAAGCATGGTGCCAAGCTGGCAATGCAGCACGCAGAACCGTCCTTAAGATTGATTCACACGCACATCTATTGCAAACGACAATGCCAAGACATCCAGACACAGCCAAAAGTGAAGGCGAATCCACGAAAGCTAATTCCTGCTTACAGTGAAAGTGCCGATAAATGCCACGCGGCCAGCGCCAGTGGTGATGAGAGCGAAGGCCTGGGAGAGGTATGCGAGAGCGGCCCAGAGGCCCATTTCGATGCCGCATCGACGGACAGCGGGGTTGGAGAGGGCGGTGGGGAGCAGCGGAGAGAGTGCAAGTGCAGCTATGGCGAAGCGACCCAGACAGAACTGCAGCGGCCCTATCGCGGCTTCCTCTGCTCCCTTGATCACCGTGCCGTTGCTGGCTGCAGGAAGTGCGGGTGTGATGCAAGCATGGTAGGGAAGGGAGGTTGGGAGCGCTTAATCCTGGACGATGGAAGAGGTCAAGAAGCGAGATTGAGAGCACGGTAAGTGAGTATTATGGAGAGTGTTGAATGCGTACCATAGACCATGATGAGTGCATACCATAGAGCATGACGAATGCATACCATAGAGCTTGGTGAATGCATACCATAGAGCATGGTGAATGCATACCATAGAGCATGGTGAATGCATACCATAGAGCATGACGAATGCATACCATAGAGCATGATGAATGCATACCATAGAGCATGGTGAATGCATACCATAGAACATGGTGAATGCATACCATAGAGCATGGTGAATGCATACCTTAGAGCATGACGAATGCATACCATAGAGCATGATGAATGCATACCATAGAGCATGGTGAATGCATACCATAGAGCATGACGAATGCATACCATAGAGCATGATGAAAGCATACCATAGAGCATGACGAATGCATACCATAGAGCATGATGAAAGCATACCATAGAGCATGATGAATGCATATCATAGAGCATGGTGAATGCATACCATAGAGCATGGTGAATGCATACCATAGAGCATGGTGAATGCATACCATAGAGCATGATGAATGCATACCATAGAGCATGGTGAGCGCGTTCAGAACGATGAGGCCGCCAGTGCGAGACGCAACCACCTTGGTGACGGTTTCAGCTCCCTTCTCCATCAGCCGCGGCACCAAGTCCGCCAGGGACCGACCCTCCTCCTCCCGTTTTGCCGGATTTCCATCTGACAAGATTTCTTCGCTTTCAGGTATCGAGCTTCCATCGCTGACGTAGCAGCGAGTAGTTTCGGTACGTCCGGTAACAGAATTGTCGCCGCTCGGGCCGGTGCGGCGAAGAAAACGATCTGAAGCTCTAATGTCGTTGCGTTGAATTGGGATAGGCGGGTAGATTCCAATCCTTTTTTGCAACCGAACGGTTCGCGATGAGTGGAGCGAACAGTCACGGCATTGAATTTGGTCACTAGAGAGCCGCTTAACTTGCTTAGGTTGTCGGAATGCTCTGGTGAACTGCCTATCTAGAAGCGAGGAGGACATTATCGTAAATTTCCGGAGCAGCAGCTTGCGTCACAGGCCGGAAGACGGTACCATCTGCGTGCTTGTTCTGTGCTGGAAACGCGACTAAAGCCTTGGATCGTTCGAATCGAAATTCACCGTCGCGCACGATGGTCCCAGGACTTAGCCTCTTAGCCGCCTTGACTTAACGTTCATCCCGTCAGCACCTCGCGAGAAACATAATAGTTCACTGAGATTCCATCCAATTCGTCGCCTTCCCAGTTTCCTCCAGCCCGCTTCTGAATCCGCAGCTTCACCTTGAGACTGTCACGTGCTTCTCTCCTTCCGATCGACCCTCTCAGGCATGCAGTGCCGCTGATCAGCAAGCACCTGCTGCACGGAGTTCACCGAATCTGGTGGTTCGTGCTTTTGCGGTGACCGACCGATCACCACCGTTCTGCTTCTGTCAGTTCAGTTCCCTCCTGGGCCTGTCAGATATGCTTCTGCGCATTTCTTGGGATTGTCGCTCACACACTCGCGGCGCGTCACTTTCGTGAGCAAAAGTGATGATATCGCGCCGAACACTTGACCAATTTGCTGAATAGAGAAGTAGCCAATATCACTCAACAACAGTCAAAGAAAGCACCATGCACAGCATTAGCTTGTTGATAAATGTACATAATCTGCAGCTCGGACGGGACGGGAGCATATCAACATAAAAACAAAACAGAAGCAAAATCACGTGAAAATCCTCACGTATATTGCAATACACTTCTTTCTATGCCACAACTCTTCACGGTCCACCACCGCCCTAGATCAGTCCCTTCCCTGAAACCTCCTCTTCTCTTCCTTGGCTAACCTCTTGTACTCCCTCCTCTCATACAACCTAGCTTCCTTGTCCTGTGCCTGCTCCCGTATCTTCCTCAGCTTGCCCGCATCAGCCTCCAGACCCCCCATTGAAAACATCGCCTCAAAACTCCTCCCCGCACCACCCTTCACACTCCTCCCTTGCACTCCTGTGTCTCTGTCGCCCTCCCTTGTCCTTTCCCGCTTTCTAATGTCTCCACTCCCCTCACTCTGTTTTTCATCCCCATACCCATCCCTTGTGGCAGCAGTCGCAGCAAGCTCTTTCTCCGCACGCCGCCGTTCCTCTCTCCGAGCCTTTTTCCGAGCCAGCTTCTCCTCCCGAGCGTACCGCCTCTGCCGCTTCTTGCTCACCCGAACCTTGCCTTCACGCTCTGCCTCCCGCACATGCCTCCTCTCCTCCCTCTGCTTTGCACGCTTACCCTTCTTCCGTTCCCCCTCCCCTGCTGCTCCATCCTCCCCCACCCCGTTTTTCCTCTTTCCTTCCCCTCCTCCACCACCATTTCCTCCCCCCTTGCCTGATCCATCCTCACCCGAATCCGAGCCCGATTCTGATTCTGAATCTGAATCTGATCCTGAACTTGAAGACGAGGAGGAACTGGACGAAGAATGCCGACCTTTCCTCCTCTTCTTGCTGCCCTCCTTATCGCCTTTCTTCTTGCCCTTCCTTCTTTCACCTCCTTCACCACCATCTCCCCTCCCAAGCCCTGGTTCCTCACGCCCTTTACCTTGCACCTTTTGCTCCTCCAAGTCCTCTTCCTCGCTGTTCCCACCTCCTTCTCCTGCCTCTCTAGCCCTGGCACTGCTGCCTGCTGCCTTATCCTCGCTATTGACAGCCCCAGCAGCACCCTGTGCAACAATCTTTTCCTCCAGCTGCTTCTTCATGCGTGCCACACGCTCCTCATGCCCTGCGGCCCTGCAGGGTGCATGCAGCAGACAAAAGGCTTTCAATCACCTCCTACTCAAACATGGCCGTAACGATAAAACAGAAAGAAAGAAAGGAGAATCGCCAACGGCAAGGACAGGTTTACAGGAAGTGTTGGCGAGCAACACAAGCTCAACAGGGACCATCAGCACACATCACTTACGGTGCGAACCCAAGCCCTTGGATCCTCTCCCCTGACGCATACTCCTGCGTCAGCACCTCGCCGCTCTGCCCCCTTCTGAACAGCTCATCCATCTCGCCCTTCTCCATGCCTCGCGCCTCCCCTAGCTTCGGCCCTCTCCTCTTCACAGGCGCTATCCCCAGCATCTCGTTCATTGCCGCCTCCTCCTCCTCCTTAATCCGCTGCCTCTCCGCCTTCAGCTGCTCTTCCGCAGCTGCTTTCGCCGCTGCCTTGTCCCCGGGCTTTGTCCGAGTGTACCACTGCAGGTCCTTGCCTGATGTCATGGTGACGGGGGAGAAGAGAGAAGTTATTGAAAACAATTGCACCACAGTAGATCCTGGGCTGGTGCAGTGGTGGGGCCAGATGAGAGATGCAAATACGGATAGAATGTCAGCCTGCAGACACTTGTTGTGGCTGTTGTAAGTTAGCAAGAAGGGTTGGCAGGTGAGAGGCGGAGTGGAGTTAAGAAACAAACGAGGAAGATAAAAAGAGAAGGGATGCAGAACTCCGAGGTAATTTCTTCCCTGACTAAGGCCCTTACGGGTTGAGGGGTTAGCATTTAGGGTATACCACCGCACCTCCTGAAACCTGGTGGCACAAGTCACTTTCAGGTGCCTTGGACAAGCACGGATGCATCGGATGATTGAACGCATAGACTGAGCACAAGGCCTAGCCTAGCCTAGATTGCATGACTATCTGGAGCCCAGTAAACTGCGTTCCATCCGTCCAGAGAACTATATGCAGCCCAGTGAACGCAGCCCGCGCAGTCAAGGATAAGAGATGCGTACCTTTCTGCCAGCGGCCGACAGGCGCCATCACACTGTGGCCGAGAAAATTCTCCCGGAACTTGTCACTCTTCACGTCGTCCCATTTGAATTCTGGTAGAGACGAAAGGTGGTAGTGAGAATATTCAGGCATCGACAATCGAGGTTTGGTAAATGAGACGGTCGAGAAGGGTACATAAACAATATACTCCGACGTCGATGAGGCGCCTCGGACGTCAATAACACTCCAACGACAACCTTGCGCGATGTAGGGTTGCGATCGGAAACGACAAACACTCTCCAACGGAAAGGGCATAAAGAGGGAATCAGGCACCAAGAACAACGATCCAAGAAAGTAGGCTCCAGCATTCTAAACTCATTCGAGTCTTCACAAGGCAAACGCTTAACCTAGCAACTAGGATACAAACTTACGATCTTTCCCTCCCCGAACGCCGCCTCTGGTTGGATGAAACATTGATGCAATCCTACTAGCCGAACCGTAGCAACGGCGTAAACTAAAGAAGCCGTGATAAAAACAAACTAGAGATGTGGAAAGATGAGACGGTAGGCTTGTTTGGCAAATATGTCAGTTCAACCTAGCACGCTTTCAGAACCAGAAAGGCATGTCGTACGCGCTTTAAAAACATGTAGTATGCTGTAAGGTCCTGTTGATATACAGAACCTCAACTTCGACAATTCTTAGGTTTTCTAGACAGGATGAGAGGCCTTGAAACCCACACGTCAACACCCACATATATCTACGACTCGAAATGCGTCACTAAGAAACATCGACGGTACATCGCCCCTCGATTGGGTTTTGTACGTTGACGGATGAGGCAGGGTCCAAGAGCAGCTGACACAACAGCGCCACGCAAGCCAACTTTTGATCCACCTTGATGTGGTAACCCGGTCCATCACCTTACCGACTCCGTCGTCATTCAGGCAAGCGAACAGTTCCACTTTCTGGTAACCCCGTCAGCTCTTCGCGCTCCTCCGTTTGCCTCCCCTTGCCACGGTCCTATACTCTCCCTCCCTACCGTACCCCTCACTTAGCACTAGCGCTAGGTTTCTGATTGTTTCTCTCACCTGAATCAGCAGTACGCCTGTTTCAGAAGCGCCATGGCTGCTGTGACCCAACAGGTAGGTCTAAACGGACCGTCATTAGTTTCACACACTACACGCTGGCTCATAGGTGCGCTATAGGTCTCCGTAATCCGTTAAGATAACGTTAGCATTATGCTCCATAGTACGACGAGCTTACCCGCGAGATCGCGTTCTTCTCATAAGCTCCTCGTCACGTTCCCATTGCCTCGCAGGCGTCTCTCTCGGCGTCCGCGCCGAGGCTCGCGGTCTCTCGCGCCCAGCTCGGAGCACCCAACCGGCTGGCCTCTTCGGCCTCGCCGATGCTCAGCCCATGGTGGCGAAGCCTCTCGCAATCCCTCACCGCTACAGGTACCTAGACCCTATTTAGGTCCCCTATTCGCTATTCCACCCCCATTCGTATTCCACCTATCACTAGTATGGAACCTAGTATCCGTAGCGGCTCAGGGTTTATGAAGCGGTTGCGTTCCGGGATAAACGCGTTAGCCTCCTCGTTATTACGTCCTTTTCCACGCAGCCCTTCGCGTTTCTGTTCTCGGATCTTTTGCTATTGGAAATGCCAAGTTGCGCTCAAGTTTAAAATTAAAGTGCAAGTTGGTACCTACATTTCTGACGCCACCGATTCCTGAATCCCGCCGTGCAACTCCAGCAGCCCCCAAGTTCCACGCTGCCAGCCGCCTGAGCGTCCGCGCGAAGGCCGCGGAGGCGGAGGAGGCTGTCGCGGAGGCCGGCGCTGAGGCGGTGGAGGAGGCCCCCGCCAAGGCCAAGCCCCCGCACATGAAGCACCTCATGAATGTGAGTGCCGGATCGCCCTTTTATAGACGTCTTAAGCACG